CGGTAGCCGGAGGGTCGGACGACGACTTTCCTGCTACCGGTAGCCTCCTGTAGCTCGAGGCTCGGCAAGGCTCCATTTAGTGAGATGGGGGACAGGTTGTTTGTTACTGTGGGTTGTGTTGGAGTGGTGGGATTTTGGGTATTTGATGTGGGCATAACTAACCAGTCTTGTAAGTGCAGTCTTTCTCTTTCATTCCCGTTGCCTAGAATCAGGGGGATGAATTTATTAATGATCTCTTGTTTCTTATCTGGGGCATATTGTAGGGATTGGCGTTTGGCGTATGTTCTGTTCCATTGTGCTTGTATTTCTGTTTCGACCGTCTGTTTAATGGCTATGAGGAGTGTTTTCAGGGGTATTACTAGAAACCTCGAAGGTTGCTGTGCATCTCCTTTTCCAGATCGCCCAGAGGGTCGATTTTTTCATGAGCGAGAAGAAAAGACGCTCAAACGAGGGGTGGGTTTTGATCCACCTCTAGGAATAGCGTGCCCGGGTTGATCGCGATGGTTTTATTGGAGTGTTTGTTCCAGGTTAATTCTATATCATGCCAGAGTTGCTTTGTCTTTGGGCAATCTATGAAGCAATAATTGAGTGATTCTTCGAGTTGGGTGTTGCACACCCTGCACCACGATGTTTGAGAGCAAGTTAACCGAGCACCCATTTTTCAGGCCCATTTATAAGAAAACCAGACAGTCATTTTAACAACACTTCACACCAATCTATAGAGTGCACTTCTTACGACCCCATCACAGAACCCCCCCCTAAAAAAAGCAATTAAAAACATATAAAACAGCAAGCCAAAGGTGCATTTCCATGAAATTTGCCCCCCAAAAAACTCGACCAATTTCAGAAATTTCAGAAATCTTAATAGCGCAAATTCTAAAACTCCAAATAACCCCAAATTTCATATACGGCAACCCTATCAAAATGCATATATAGCAAAAACTTGAAATTCCAAAAAAACATGAAATTTGAGCCCAAAACCCTAATTTCAAAAATTTCAGGCCTGAAAACCAGATGCCCCGTTAACCTCTTGTGCGATGTTTGCTCAGTGTCTTTATCTTTCTTTCTTCTTTGCGACAGCCAGAGACTGACGGGCACTGGGCAATCTATGAAGCTCTTTCTTTTTCTTTGCGATAGCCAGAGATCGACGGGCACTGGGAAATCTATGAAGCAATAATTAAGTGATTCTTCGAGTTGGGTGTTGCACACCCTTCACCACAATGTTTGCTCAGTGTCTTTGTCTTTCTTTCTTCTTTGCGGTAGCTCTCAAGTGATTCTTCGAGTTGGGTGTTGCACACCCTGCACCACGATGTTTGTTCAGTGTCTTTGTCTTGTTTCTTCTTTGCGATAGCCAGAGATTGACGGGCACTGCACGAAATGTTATGAGCCATAGCAGACTAGCTAGTTTGGGTGGTCTTGTGCCAAAGATAGAGGTCCATGATGGGTTGATGTTGACCACTGTGATGGTATTTTCCTCCTTGTGCGACTATGTGTATGGAGGGGGCTTTGTTGTGGAGCTCGTAGCCTAACTTGGGTGTGTAGTCAGTGAGTGCATAGCGGCGCTCTCTTGTGGAATGCGAGCTGGTTCTACTCCATGACCATTCAGCTGGATCCATTTCAAGGTGTTTTATTTCTGTTGCAGGTTGGTAGACTCTGTTTCTGTCCCTTTCTATGACCCCGATTCTTCTGAGATTGGCTGAAATGAAGGCCCCAACAGAGTATCCAGTTCTTATTATGTCGGTTGTTGTTTGTGTCTGTGGGTTGTACTTATTCTCTGTTCGATGCCCAATCTCCCCACATCCACTTTTGATTAGTCTTCAACAACTGGCGCCATTCTAGAGGTATACTTTCGATGATGTGAGTGATGTTGGCCTGCTAATTGTGGCACCCTTTTAGTAAGTTACACAGATCTTTTGTTGCCTTCCAGTTGTTTGTCGGTTCGTTCCAGAGATGTTGCACTTGCCATATGCCTTTCTCTATCCAATGTCCCTATTTGATGTCTGTTTTGGTGAGAGAGAAGTTGAGGCCATTTTCGTCTTTGATCCATGGATTACCGAAACGGGGCTTTTCTGAGAACTTAGTCTCTTTTCTTTGAGCCGCTTTTAATATGTGGGAAAATCTTTCTCCATATGCGGATGAGTTGTTCCCAAAATGCTTTTGTCTTTCCTTTCTCTGTTTCCTCGTTTGTGTTGGGAGGGTTGTTGTTGTTGTTGTTTTCTCTTGGCAAGGGCCAAGGTCTGACATGTTGGGGGAGTATTTATAAGGTGCTAAGTCCTTGATGTGACTTAGGGCTAGTGGTACCCCTTGTAGGTTATTTTGCAAGGCAAGTCTGATTATCCATTTAGTCTGGCAGGCCTCAATCTGTCGCGGCGCCTAGCCCTCCTCTGTCTTTGGAAGGTAAGTCTGATTATCTATTTAGTCTGGAGGGCCTCAATCTGTCGCGGCGGGTCTATAATTCCTAGCCCTCCTCCGCCTTTGGATTGCCTGACGACTTACCATGCGACCTTGTGAATGAGATGTTGTTTATCCGGGTTGCCTGTCCATAGGTAGGTCGCTGCCCTGTGACGGATTTGTTTCTGGAAGTCTAAGGTGGGGAACCATATCGATGTAGAGTACCGCATCATTGATAAGATTGATTTATTCAGGGCTAAGGCTCTTCCGAGAAGAGAGGTGTGAACTCCTTGCCAGATGTGCATTTTGTTGATCAGTGACGACATTAGGGATGTGGTCGACGAGGGGTGGCACCCTTTCGTGCGGAGGTTTATGCCTAGGAAGCGGATTGGTGTGGTTGGGTCTGTCCATTGTGACCCTTCAGAGGATAATTCTATGGGAGGGGGTGAGTCCGCTAGCCACCAATCGACAGTCTTTGTCCAATTCACTTTGATTTCTGATGCTAATTGAAAGGCTTGCATAGCTCTTGTGGGGGCTTGGAATGAAGAATTTGATGCTCTTGTAAGGACCGTGAGGTCATCCGCGAAGAGTAGGGTCGATGGAAGGTGGAGTGTGTGGCCTCTATCGTCCTTGATACTATCTAATCTTTCTATGGATTTGTCCTTTTTGAGGGAGGCCGCGATTGCTTCCATAACAAAGAGGAAAATGGGGGCTGCAAGTGGGTCTCCCTGTCTTACCGATCTTGTCATTTTGTATGGGTTGGAGAGGAAGCCGTTTACCTGGACTATGCCCTGTGCATCTTTGTAGAGGATTCTTAAACATTTACGAAAGTTCGGGCCTATACTCCCATTTTCTCCATGCAGATCTGTAGAAAGTCCCAGTTGACTTGGTCATCGGCTTTATCAAAGTCGAAGAAGAGTATTGCTGCCGCTATTCATTTCTGAGGGATTAGCCTGGTCGACTCACAGAGGGTCATAACGTTGTCTAGTGTGAGCCTGCCCGGAATGAATCCTGTTTGGTCTAGATGGAGGCAGTTGCCAGTGATGTGGTTGATTCTTGTGGGATGCATCTGAAGTACCAGTTGACTTGGTCATCGGCTTTCTTAAATTGTGCCGTTATTCGTTTATGAGTGATTAGCCTGGTGGACTCACAGAGCGTCATAACGTTGTCTAGTATGAGCCTGCCCGGAATGAATCCTGTTTGGTCTAGATGGAGGCAGTTGCCAGTGATGTGGTTGATTCTTGTGGGATGCATCTACAGTACCAGTTGACTTGGTCATCGGCTTTCTCAAAATCAAAGAAGAGTATTGCTGCCGTTATTCGTTTACGAGTGATTAGCCTGGTGGACACACAGAGCGTCATAACGTTGTCTAGTATGAGCCTGCCCGGAATGAATCCTGTTTGGTCGAGATGGAGGCAGTTGCCGGTGATGTGGTTGATTCTTGTGGGATGCATCTGATCGCAATTACATCAGGGAACAAGTAAAAGGGTCCTAGCGTGAGTATGCCCTCGTTGCCAGCGATAGTGATGATAGAAGAACCCCTGTGGACGTGGGTGCGTGGAACGAAGGCGGTTCTTGGGGTTGACGGGAAGTTTGGTGGACTCACGGTTGTATTATGAGTCGTTGATCTTGCCATTGAGCGGTTTTATATTTTATATACTACTCCGTGACATGTGTACATCTTTGTGTGCATTTTTTCTTCCACATCCATATCCATATCCATAGGCAGCATTGTCAGGGATGCTGTTTCCACACTCAGTAATCTAATCATATTCTCGAGTGTTTTATTACGAGTCATGGAGCTTCTCGAGGTGAATCTACTTCGCTACTCAGACTCACCCTTCATCATACAGTAGGAAAAAGAAGGATACCCTCACAAAGCTCAGAAGCAAACGAATAAGTCAAATGAAAAGGATGTCAGTTCATATAACTCAGACTCAGCACACAACAAGCAGCTGCTCCTTATATCTGGGCACACAAGAAGCACCTTGAAAGATGAGGAAGTTAGAAGAAACGCATGGGATTACAAGCTGTTCCACACCATGGTCCCTCAGACAACAAACCTGGCAGGCACGGATGGTAGGTCCAATGACCCACTGACCCAATGTGGATGCGAAGACCCAACAGCTGCCTCCAGCTCTGTAGCGAAACCCGTGGTTCCTTGACGAACGGCTTGCTCAAGAGACTTACATGCATATATCGTCAAACAGAACTTCCCGGCTGGGTGCCTCAAGAATACAGGACCCTGAGTTCGGGGGGGGGGAGGGTGGGGGCACCCCGGGCCAGCACTCCGGGTAGCACCCGTCCGGGGGCAAATCTCCCAGGTCTGTGGTCGAGGTTGTGTGCTCTACATTGAGTGCCCTCTGTGTGTGGGTGGGTCCGCCTAGATGACTGTGTCAGGGTGGCTGAACCCGGTGTGTGCGGCCTCTTGCCGGCTCTCCTCCTTCCGTAATATCCCCAACACCCCTACAACCTTAAAAAAAAAAAAAAAAAAACACAGTCTGGTAAACTGTAGGCAGAGAGGGAGAAGAGGACAACAAAAAAAGGGCTGTGACAGAGTGTTTCATCGGAGTTTCGCCGACTCATCAGGAGGCGGACTATATATATATCGTCAAATAGAACTGCCCGGTAAACCGTAGGCAGAGAGGGAGAAGAGGACAACAAACGAGGGGCTGTGACAAACTGCTATATCGTTTTTGGCACAACCTTTTACACCATAAGACGGCAAACGCTACCATCAGCACACATGAGCTGCCTGCCTGTGTGTTCCTAGGAGCATTCACCTTCAAGTCTCTGGTTAGCACCACAGAGTATTGTAGCATAGACAAAAAAAAGATAAAGGGGTTATGGGATAAAATCATAGAAGTTACAACAGCATCACAAGCTATAAAAAATTAAACATATGTACAACAAATTTTGAAATCTATTCGGTCTACACATGGAAATGAACACATGCCAAAGACGCATTTCTCAACCGCCAACTCTTTTCAGAGAAGCAGTGGCCATCTTCCGCAGGCTCCCCTTTCTCGCCAATCAATCGGAAAAAAGACACCTTTTCTCGCCAATCAATCGGAAAAAAGACAGATCAAACGCGATTTTCTGACACGTCATAACATACACCTTACCTTTTCTTTACAAACCTGTGATGGGCATTCCCCTACTGGAATTCCCCTACTGGAAAGCCCTGCACGTACGCCCTGCACATACGCTGCATAGAGATCCCATTGCAATCCTCTACTGGAAAGCGCTGCACAAACACTGCATAGAGATTCCAAGATGGAATTTTCCTCTACTGGATGCTGGTCCTTCTCCCTCTCCATGCGAGGACAGATACGGCGATTAAGCAACAGAAAAAAACAGAACGCGAGAATGGTGTGAAGTCCCTAATGCATACGCAGTATTACGCACAAACAGGAAAAGGCAGAACGATTGGCACTCACCTCCGAAGAAAAGAACGACCAAAAAAAAAAAAAAAAAAAAAGGACAAGGGGTATGTGCAAGGGTGATGAGAAGAGGACAGGAATAACAAGGAGAAACTATGAAGAACAGAGAGCCCATACCACTTTCAGAGAGAGAAACAATCGTACCCCATACCACCACTTTCAGCAAGCGAAACGATCATACCCCAAAAGGGTTTTCTTCCTCCAAGTGTAATAAGGCCGAACCAACCACCACTCCAAATTGTGAGTGGTGGCAGATTACCAATCACAGTAAGGGGTCTCCACAGGAAACTCCCAAACTGTGGCCGCTTTCGCGGACCCGAAGGCTCTCTGCAGCACATTGACGAACGATCCCAGCCCACTCAAGTTGGCTGTTCTGGTAGACCGACGCCGCAGCTGTGTTGACAGCATTTTCTGGAGTGGCTTCCCAGAAAAGCATCTGTACACTTACTAAGATTGATGTCAGACTGCAGCAACCGGTCCATTCTCTATGCGCGTCGGCCGCGGCATTCGCTAGGCTAACGCTATCAGTCGACAACCGACCAGATGGGCACGGCGTCAAGCGGATGTTGTCGGCCGCAACGTCAGCACGATCAGTGCTCGCATTGTCAAGGCTGTTCACAGACGCTGCCACATCTGATGCCTGCACTGATGGTTGCGCTGCCCGTGCAGCCATCAGAGGAGAAACGGATGAGCGCAATGGGCTAGGAAGAGGGTGGCGGTCCTCAGCTCTGCCGTTGCTCTCGTCCAGCTCCCCATTTCGCACCAGAGGGATGCGCAGGTTTGCCTGACTGCTAGGCTCTCTCTGCATTGGCAACAGGGGACTACTAACAGCCGTCCGATGAGCAAGCTCACCTCCCCGTAGGAGTGCATGATTAGGACCACTGGAGATATCTACATCCCTGCAACGACCATCGACGCTTGTTGCCTGCTGTTTCTGCTGACTTGCGGGTCCTTGCTTTGCAAATTCTGGGCCAGGACACAGTTGACCTTGTCCTGCCATCCAGTCCCGACTTCTCGCACTGCTTCCATTCTCTTTCACAAGTTTGGCAACCCTGCTTTCTCCTCCTCTCCCAGTCGGAGCTCTCTCCCGACCGGCCGCCGCATGCGCTTTTCCGACATCTGATTTGATACTCTCGGGCTTCCTGTTGGTGGCCGAAGGCATCTGTACCGTCGAGCTTAAACCGGCCCGGGACTTCATAATCTGGACAATGTGGGTGGTGGGGACCACTCCCAGTGCACAAGTCTTGAAATTAACCTGACCGACCTGTCGGGCTCCCCCTCTTCCCACCACCCAGGAGGTTGTCAGCACTTCCGGTTGCATCAATGGGGCGGTGGATGCCATTTTTGGGACTGTCGCCAGTCCTCCACCGTCCATAAACCTGACCGCCATGGTCTCTTCCAGAGTAGAGCTGGATGCATTAGGCCCAGATGCGCTAACCCAAGCATGATCAGGGGTCATTGAACCTTCACAATCCCTGTGGCGGAAGAGGCTTTCGGGTGGTGATGAACAGGGAGTAAATGAGGGTGTCTGCAGTGGAGATTGAGAAGTAGGGGAAGCGTGCGATGAATCCACGTCCCATGTGTCTTCCTCCGCCTCTGTCGCAGCCGCCTGCAACATGCCCCGATCAGACACTGTTCCAATGGATCCCATCACTGTTGGGACCTCCTTTCGCCGGCTATGGCGTTCTGCTGGCGGTGGCAGCAATGGCAGAGGCAAACAACTGGCCCCTCGGCCACCGCTATGCGGCGACAATCCTGGCGTTGAGTCGTGAGCTGACGATACAAACATGTGGGACGATTCTTGAGTTGCGGCAGAATGACATGTTGGCAAGTTCGCAAGGTCAGACGTACCTGGTTGCAGAAATTCTCCGCGAGCATCGGCCGCTGATGCCTTCGGGGTAACGGTGCCGCTGGCACCACTTGCGCTTGAGAGATTCTGTTGATGATGATCAGAATCATCCCCTCTCTGACTAAGGGCTGCTGATTCTCTTCGCGTCCCGGCACCCTGACCTCGAATGTCAAATGCCGACAACTGTCCTTCCCTTTCTCCTATGCTTGTCCCAGTTTCTCTGAACGGGGTTGAAGCGGCCGGGCTGGATGCAGCCGTCGACAATGACAAAGGTGTCTCATCAGAATGTACCGTTGCAGAACTGGATCGCCACAAGGAACCGTCTTGAGCATCTCCTCTGGTCCCAGCATGCGACTCCATGAGGTCAATGCACGGAACCCCACGGGGGTCTATATTTGGATGAAACATCCGGGAGATGAACCTCAACTGCATCAGCAAACAGAATAGGAATCATCAGAACACAAAGGATAAGTCATGCGAACATGTGGAAAACAAGCTTTTCAAAGGCAAGTTCCAGTTTGCAGTTCAAATTCCTGGAGGTGAATCTCTCTTTCACGACTGTTCACCACCACACTGTCCGTCGGTATTCTTACTCCTCGTGAACATTGCCTCCCTCCAATTCTTCTCCTCGTTCTCTCGCAAGAGCTTCATAACCACTCTGGACTGCTTCAGAAAGTATCGGACTGGTATCACAAAAAGACAACTGTGTCTCTCTACCTCTGCACCTCTCTCTCTCTCTCTCTCTCTCTCTCTCTCTCTCTCTCTCTCTCTCTCTCCCCTCCTCCCCCCCCCGTGCCCTTCTTTCTTTGTTCCTTCCCTCCCTCCCTATGCATTCCTTGTGATGGCTTTTCACATGTGTGCACACCATGGGAACAACGATTAACAGAACTGGAAGAGAACCGTTTTTTTTCCACCAGTTGTGGACGGATTCTCTGAGGAAAGTACTGTAGGTTGGTATCATGAATTAAAAAAGGGGTACAACTAGTCCCGTGAAGGAACACAAGGATGCTGTGGAATTTAGGGGGGGCACAATGCATGGTTATTCTGATATTCATACCATCAAAGGAGAGATGTGAATGCCACACTACAATGAAACTGCAATTCCAATTTTTCCATGTTTCCATTTTTTAAAACATGGAAGTTCATGACTGGAACCTATTTCCTTCTTCCCTTACAATTCCCCGGTACTACGGGCAATCAATGCTGGCAGGAGACATAATGAAAATCTCAGTGGGACGCTGGGCCCGTATTCCAGCAGGTGCTGTTCCCCACCAATAGATTGGAGCAACCAGGCGGCCCGCTAGGAGGGGATGCTCATATCACTCCCCCTAGCGTGGTTTCAGGGTTTTACAAAAAAAGAAAAGAAAAAAAAAAGGCCATACTCACACTTGACTTTTTTTACTTGTTTACCGACGTAATTGCGGTCAGATGCATCAAGGCCCGACTGTGAATGCAGTCATATATACTATTATGAATTTAAGATACAGCTGGTGCGAGTTCGCCCAAACTACTGTTGCCACCACACTTTGCCTCACCTCTTTCAAATGCTAATCACTGTAATCAGTGAATTCCTAAAATCCACCAGAGCTGCAAAATGAGACTTCTGCAAGATGGTTCCACAGAGTCTCATTTTACTTTTAGGTTCTGAGTCTTCTGACAGATCAACAGAGTAGACACTGTTTTTTTTTTTCCCCCCGTCAATTCCGTCAAAAGCATAACTCTGTGTAATGCTCCCAGACCCGGTCTTTATGTGGGGTGGCTGACCCCCTTGGCTTTCAGTTAATGATAAATAAATTCTAATAAATGGAACTGCGCAATACTTGCAAGGAGAATTTCCACCTTTTAGAGGGGACTGTATTCAATCTCACCTGACTTGGGGGCTTCCTTGGATAACCTTCAGGAATTTCTATGTCCAGTATATACCTGCAAAATCACAACCATAGGATGCCGTAGCCCTGAGAAGAAAGTTTTTTATTTTTTATTTTTTTCTTCTAAAAAAGTACACAGAACATGCACAGCTTTACACCTGGAAAGCGACAAAGCTAGCCCTGGAAGTATGCACCTGGACATCCAGGTCCTCGCTGTCAGGGCTAGGTTTTTTTTCTTTTTTCTTTTTTCTTTTTCTTTTTTGGAACCACAACGCGATAATTTTTACACCTGGAAAGCGACAAAGCTAGCCCTGGAAAAAAAACTTGCCTGATGGTGGCGTTGGGAGGGCATTGTTCCCTTGGGTGGTACTGCGCCCTTGGGGGGGGCCCACGGCCAGGCCCTCTTGTCAACTAGAACTGTAGTGGGTCAAAATTCTCGGATCCAGTGGCACCGGCCGGACGGCCCAATTTGTCCCCTGATCTCAAAATCTTAAGATCGCACGACAATCACCTGTCAGCCCGATAGGACCATGGACAGCCTGGATCATATATTTCATACGTTAGCCATATTTATAGAGTAGAGTCGGACATCACCCATTACCGTATAATCTGCCTGAACAAGCGGATAAGTCCATGTCATCACTCACAATTTCATACGATATCTGAACATTGGACGAGTCCCCTGAAATGGGACTTCGAGGGGGGAAGCAGCAGGGCCTCAAATAGTTCGGTTGATGAAAAATTGAAAATACAAGTAATCTCAGCCCTGACTCAGATGGGTAACGATAAAGCCCCGGGCATTGATAGACTATCGAAAGAATTCTGGGTCCATTTCTGGCCCACACTAGGCGAGGACCTTCACAATTTTTTCAATGACAGCAGAGCCCGAGGAGGACTAGGCCAAAATCTGAGTACAAGTGTAGTATCATTACTCCACAAAAAAGGTGAGAAAGAGGATTTGAAAAACTGTAGACCCGTCTCTCGCTAATCACAACCCCCTACAAAATCCTAGTGAAAGCACTAGCCAACAGGATCATAAATCTGACAGACAAATGCTTCCACATCGACCAAGCGGGCTTCATCCCAGGTCGGTACATACTCAACAATGTGACGACTCTGAATGAGGCGGCCAAAAAAATAACCGAAAAAAGGATGAAAGCGGCGATCCTGTTCTTCGACTTCGAAAAGGCCTACGACCAAGTCAACTGGGACTTCCTTCACACTTGCATGGAAAAAATGGGGGTTCGCCCGGATTTCAGGAAGTGGGTCGAAGTGTTGTACGCTGATGCAACCGACAGAATGCAGGTCAATAGGATCCTATCAGAAACCTACCCCATCTCCAGATCCGTACGACAAGGAGACCCCCTAGCTCCATCCATTTTTCTCTTCATTGCGGAAGCCATAGCATACTTCCTCCGCAAGGATCCGTCCATAGACCGGCTCACCGAACGGAACTTCAACCCACTCCACGACTTCGCCCTACCCATCGCTCTGATGTTCGCAGACGATCTCACAGTTCTTGTCCATGCCAGCAACAGTTCCTTCCAAGCTCTCGCAAGGGCTATGGAGGCTTTCCGTCTTGCATCCAAAATGAAGGTCAACTGGAGCAAGACCGAAGGATGGTGGCTAGCAGACGAAACGCCCCCCCAACCCGAGGGCACAGAAACACCCATGTCGTGATCCACAGGTGAACAGGCACTCAGATACCTAGGTATCATGGTCAACAAGGATGGTGTGTGGCCGGGAATTGGCCACAGCTTAATTGCCAAAGCAATAACTCGCTTGGCCCCGTGCACGAACGCACAGGCATCGCTGATCGGGAGGGCACTAATTATAAACACAACTATCTTCTCCACACTATGGTACACTGCATCCATCTGGTCCCCCCCACACGTCAACTTCCAAACCATAAGGGCTAGAGCAAGATGCTATCTATGGACAAGGGACCCCAACCGAACCTCATGCATCAACAGGGTAGCATGGAGCCACATCATTAGGAAACCGCAGGAGGGAGGCCTAGGGCTAATTGACCCCAAGCAGGAATCAACAGCACTACAGATGAAATGGATCATCAAGATCCTGACCAGACAACACCTACCATGGACCAAGATGGCTTTAGACAGCATAAGAAACCTAGCACCGATAAGCTTTCCACCCAACATGAGCGGCTACTTCTGGATTATGGCAAAGGAGTGGACGATAAGATCAGGCAGATCCCGCAGAAGCACCACACGAAACTCAGACAACCAGGCAGCCCCAACACCCAACCCGTACTGGACCCCAACTCTGAAAGCCTGGCGACTTATGATGCCAAGCAAACATGGCACAACGGATAACGAAGAAGAGGCCCTGAGACAACCGCTGTTTTGCAACAATTAGATCAAGGACCCTGAAGGTAGTCCCTGGTCACTAAGAAGGAAGGACCGAAGACGGTTGTCGTGGGTTGAAAAAGGGGTGTGGCAGGTAAAGCACCTGTGGGCAGAAGAATGGGGGGAATGGCGAACGGACCAAAACTCCGGAACACCCTAAAAGGATGTCACGGTCTCATAGACAACCTAAGAATAGTACAGAAGAGCATCCCATCCCACTGGCTCTGCCTCTTGAAAGAAGACTTCTCCTGGAAACCAGGGGCCTGGGGTATGCTCATATCCCAAACTTCACCGAACAGAGCATACCGGTTCGTATCCCACACCTCAGCCACCGGCTACCTTTCCAAATTCTACTCCTATCCCATCGCCAATCACAACCTCCAGTAACTAGCCATCCTCAACAGAGAACCTCATCTAGAGACGATAGAGTCCTTCCGGCTGCGAAAAGTCAGGGTAACAAAATCCAAACCATGGGTAATCTTCCAGCCTGGCCTCGGCATAGCAAAGCAGGAATTTGATCCTAAGGAGTGGATATGGAAACAAAGCAAATCCGGAAAAACTAGAACGATACTGGAATACGACGTAAAATCCGGGTACAACCTAGCCCTACTGACTATGGACCCGAACCCCAAACTTGAAGACAGATGGAGAGAGACACTGATCCTAGAGCCAACAGCCTCAATATCCATCCCCTGGACAAAATACCTCCCCATCAGACCAGCTAGAATCTGTAGCTTACACTGGCTCCTAGCCCATGCAGCACTCCCTGTCAACCAGTGGCTCCACAAAAGAAAAAAACACTCAGACCACGACAGCTCGGAACTATGCGTAATGTGCGGTGACGATGTCCCTGAAGACATCCCCCACTGCCTCCTCTACAGCAGCCAGGCCGCCTGGATATGGAACAAAGTCCGAAATCTACGGTCCCACCTCTTCTCATCCCCTCCCCCCAACCTCACCCCTCTCAACATCCTACTTCTATCTAGCATCCCCGACAGCCTCAGAGGTGGAAAAGCGGTCTGCTTCCACATGATCAGGAAACTAGCCCTGGGGGTCATATGGAAAAGGAGGTGTACCAAGACAATCGAATGTTGAGAAGTGGCCAAGGAGGAAATGTGGATCCTACTGTTGAGGATGATGGAAACAGATATCCGATGCAAATGGAGGAGTTTATCGACAGCAACGAGAGGCAAACCTGAAAGACTTGCACTCAAGAGACAAACCTTCATGAGAGACTGGTTGCCACAGGGAAGGATCACGACAGTCTCAGACAATAAATTACACTGGAAGAAATGGGCCACTCCAACAACGACAAGGAATGTATCCCCGAGAGGGACTAATTGAGGTTCTAGCCTCAGACGGATAGACATCTGTCCCGGTTTTCTTGTGCTTCAATACCTATTCAACAGGACCAACAGGGTTTCTGAGAGGAAAGCTAGAGCAGGGCAAGCTGATAGTCAATCCTCCCATTCAGAAGTAATCAATGCTGGTCAGGGTTCCTTCGGCCACATGGAAGGAAGCGTGGGTGTGTACTATGATGTATTCAATCTTGACTTGCCGGGGAAATAGGAAACGGACTGACGCTCCCCAGAATGGACAAGGCGCCAGACTATAAGGGCCTGTTTAAGAAAAAAAAAAAGAAAAAAAAAAAAAATACAAGAAATCAACGACTATGGATCTCAGAAATAGAAACGGCAACATGAATTACCTTGTTTTCGAGGCCCTATGCTTGCAGGGTCCCCTCCCCTCTATATAGTCTTAGAGGAAAGGTAGTGAAAGACAAAAAGAATTTGAGAGAAGAACATAGGGTAGTTAAAAAAAAAAAAAAGAAAAAGAAAAGAAACGGCGGCATTAGTCCAAGTCAATGAGCCTACTGCCTTGTTTTCATACTTGAATGAAAAATTGCATGACATGATTTGACATCCTCCCCATCTGGCTGTAAAACATGCCAGATGGGGAGGATGTTTTACAGCCATCCTGACCTCCCCACTCTGCTTTCTCAAATTCTGGCCACAGACAGGTGAAACCATTCCGCACTCCCCCCGGCTACAAACGCTTGAAGATGAATAATTACGAATGCAGACACAGTGGCGTAATAAACCACAGCGGCTCTCTGCCGTGTCTCTTCCCCCAAAGGTGGTAATATAAATACCACAAAAAGAAGGGGAAAGCTCCTACAGTTTTCAGCCTCACAACCACAGATAGAGTGAGTCTCGCACATAATTTCCGCCTGCACTCTGTCTCAGACAGTATAGAGAACCACATAGTTTAGGTATGTAGTATATACTATATATATCTGTGGAGGGTTGCAAAATCATTCCTGAATGAATAACTCCTTGGAATGCCACCCAGCCTATAGTTGGGGTAGTGCCGCACCAAAGAAGCTCTCCCCGAACAGATACGTGGATGAACCTGAATCAATATCCGAAGTTCCCTCTTACTGCTAGCACAGCACAGGTCCACTATAGCCATGGCTTCCCCCCTCCTTCCTCCTCTCACATGCCAAGGCTATGGCAGACTACGAAGGGCTCTGCCCTCTTGTGCAAAGGACAACACAAAGCAGCTATGTCGCTACTCATCAGGCCGCCATGCCTGACTCTCCCTCGAGCTTCTTTGGTGCGGCACTACCCCACCTGGGACCTGCCAGATGCAGCGCCTATCAAGGTGATGGAGATGGTGTCCACCATAGCCAGGTAGGTACCTCGCCACTCTCCTCCTCCGCCCCCTTCTTCCTCCTCCTCAAGCTGGGCTGCTCGCCATAGCCAGGCTGAGCGCCCAGCTCCTTCGTCGACCTCCCAGACAGCGGTCCAAGTCCAGCGGGCTCAAGCAGTAGTTGCCCAACCTTGCACGCCGCAAATGAGGAGCTACTTGCTCCTCCAGAAGATGTAGTGGCCTACTTGCCTCTTGGGCGGTGACTTCCTAGGCCGCTCGGCCTTCCAGCAACCGGTACCTCTTCCCTTTCGGAGGGAAACATCATTGCAGGCTCTGATATCGTCCGTACAGGCCCTAGGCTACTTGGACTGGGCCTGCCTCTAGCCTACCACTACCGGGCCACTAAAAATGCTAACTTTTTGTCTTCCTTCTGCTCGGCCTAGAGTACCCGACACTTCTACCACTACTTGAGTGGTACCGGCCTGTGTTTTCCCTGCTGCTCCAAGTGTCCCGGGCCTACCCCCGGTACTTAGTGTTTTTCCTGCTGCAACTCTCGAAGTCACGGCCGCGGGTAAGTACCGGCCCTGAGGGGCCTCCAAACCAACGAGTGCCCTTGCGGGTCAGACCACACACTCAGGCCGACGAGCACACACACAGACTTAGAAATCACAGCAGAGTGCGGGAATCTCAGCAAGGCATACATTCCAGCGGCAAATCCCAGAAATCGGCAGTGTTCTCAGTCTTTGTTTTGGCAGCTTGGACAGTTGGGTTCACTGATTTATTTGCTGAGCATCATCAACAACAAACATTCACCTACAGGAATCACAGGCATACAATGATCACACAAATGCACAACCATGCACATACACTTCATCACTCTACCTGCAGACTGCATCACAGGTTCTGTAGCTTCTGTAGACTGTGCGAACGAGGAAGAAAGGGCAACTGATAGCGCAAGCCTTGCATGGGGAATAGGGGACATGGCACAGCTGGCAGCGGAAACTGCCACAAAATTCACAAATGCTATCGACAATTCACCAACGTATGGAGGGGAGGTGGGTGTTGACTGACCTTCCACCAGCCCAGGGTGTTCCAGCTGGGCCTTCAAACACCGCACGCCATTTATACAGATTGTCTTCCTGAGAAATTCATACAGACAAACCACATATGCAAACGCTCCAGCTTTCAGCAAAATATATTTCAATATGACCAAAAAAAATTAAAAACTTAAAAAACTTCAAAAGTCCCAAAAAAATTTAAAAACCAAAAAGATAAAAAAATAGAGAGCCTCCATCCAGGTCAGTTAGGGGAACTCGTGATGAAAACATTATCGTTTTCTCCTTAGTGACAAGAAGTCATCCCATGACTTGTATCAACAGGGTCTCAGGGAAGCTGCAGAAAAACCTCGACTCAGGAGCTGCAGACCGTCTCCCTC